GGCGGGGAGGGAGAGGCACCGTCGGGGCAGGGGCCGCCGTCCTGCGGCAGCGACAGCTGGGCATCCTGCAGGTAGTCGAGGTACTTGCCGGCCAGGGCGGGTGGCAGGTGGCACTGCACGAAGACGGTGAGCAGGCGGCCCTGGGAGTGCCAGGCCGCCAGCCAGCGCTTGAGGCCGCGAAGGCGGCAGTCGCAGCTCCAGGCATTCCCCTCCAGCTCCAGGCGGTAGAGGGCCAGGCTGGAGGCGAAGAGCTCGCCGGGGAGCGTGGCCAGTGCGTTGTCGCGCAGGCTGAGCTCCCGCAAGCGGCCGAGGCGGCCGAAGGCGGCCGGGTGCAGGGCGGTCAGTGCATTGCGGCTCAGGTCCAGTGCCTCCAGGCTGTCCAGCGGCTCCAGCAGGGTGGCAGGTAGGTGGCTCAGCAGGTTCCCCTCCAGGCGCAGCTCCTTCAGGGAGCCCAGCCCCCTGAAAGCATCCGGGGCCAGGTGAGACAGTCGGTTGCCACTGAGTGAGAGCTTCGCCAAGCCGGGCAGGTGCTGGAAGAGCCCCCCCGTCAGCTGCCGCAGGCTGTTGCTGGCCAGCAGCAGGGTGTGAAGGGAGCGCAGCGGCCCAAAGATATCTGGGTGGCGAAGGGAGCTCTGCTGGTTCCCTGAGAGGTCGAGGAAGCGCAACTTGGCCAGGCCAGTGAAGGCGCCGCGACTCAGCCAGCGGATGCGGTTGGACTCCAGGTGCAGATAGAGTAAGTTTGGCAGCCCTGAGAAAGTGGAATCGCCCAGCGAGCCCAGCTCGTTGCCATCCAGTCGCAGCTTGACAAGGCTGCCGAGGCCGGAGAAGGAGGCAGCGCTGAGACGGCCGATCTCGTTGGCGTTCACGTAGAGGATGCGCAGCTTGGCCAGGGTGCTGAGCGTGCCAGGGGCCAGCGCTGGCAGCAGGTTGTTGCCCAAGTAAAGCTCCTCCAGCCGCTCCAGGCGCTCAAAGGCCTTGGGGTGCAGCGAGCGGATCCGGTTGTACTGCAGGTCCAGGCGCTGGAGCCCTGCCAGGCGGTGGAAGTCGAAGGCGGAGATGTTGGCGATGAAGTTGCCCCCGAGGCTGTAGGTGAGGATATCCTGCGGCTCGGCAGTCTTGGGCACGGAGCGCAGGCCCCGGTTGGTGCAGAGGAGGTGCTGGTGCTGCTGGCAGTCGCATGGCTCGGGGCAGATGGGCTCGGCCGCGGGCAGCAGCAGGAGGATGAGGGGGACGGAGCCCCAGAGCACCCGCGGCAGCGCCATCAGGCGGACCCGACGCGGCGCCCCCATCCCGGGACGAGCCGTGGGCTGCTTCCCCCGCCGGCTTTGTGTCTCTCCGGCATCCCCTCCGCCTCCTCCGCGGCTGCTAATGGGCCCCTCCTCTGCTCCGCGCCGGGCTGAGCTGCGCACCGGGCAGGCAGGCGCGGCGGCTGCAGGTCGCGGTGCCCGGCACCATGGG